ATGTGTATGGGTAACAAAGGAGGCAGAAGGGGGCTTTGGATCCCTTGGAGTTGGATCCCTGTAGCTGCCTGATAGTACTGGGAACTGAATTCAGGTCTCCTAGAAGACCAGCAAATTGTCGTGACTGTTGAGCTATTGCTCCAGCCTTCGCTACTTCTCTAAAATAGTTTTTTTTTGTTTTTTACAATTTTTTACGTGTGCATGTGTATTTTGTATGTAGCAGGGGGAGGGTTTGCAATTTTTAGTTTTTGAGGACTCTGTGTAACAGCTCTGACTGTTCTGGAACTTGCTTTGTAGACCAGACTAGCCTCAAGAGATCTGCCTACCTCTGCCTGCTGAGTACTAGGCCACTATTACCACCACAGTGGGGTTTGCAGACTTTTAAATCCACTGAATCAGGGTTTCACAGAGATCCGCCTGCCTCTGCCTCCCAAGTGCTAGGATTAAAGGTGTGCGCCACCACCGCCAGACTAAGTTCACTGACCCTTGCAGCCCTTCCAGATCTTTTCTTTCTGTTGTCAGGGAGAATTCTTGAAAAGAAGCTCCTAAAGACACTAGTTGATTAGAGCTACACAGGCTAGGCTGAAACTCAGGATTCTCAGGCCTCTGCCTCTTTTTGTTTGTTTTTTGAGAAAGGGTTTCTCTGTATAACAGTATTGGTTGTTCTAGAACTCAGTTTTGCAGACCAGGCTGGCCCTTAACTCACAGATATCTGCCTGCCTCTGCTTCCCAGGTGCCGGGATTAAAAGTATGCACTACCACCTCCTGGCTATATCTCTGCCTCTTTAGTGCTGGAATTGCAAGTGTGAGCCACTTAAAGAAACCCAGCCGGGCGATGGTAGCGCAAGCCTTTAATCCCAGCACACGGGAGGCAGAGGCAGGCGGATCTCTGCGAGTTTGAGACCAACCTGGTCTACAGAGCTAGTTCCAGGACAGGCTCCAAAGCCACAGAGAAACCCTGTCTCGGAAAAAAAAAAAATACAAAAAAAGAAACCCAGCCCTTTGTTCTTTTTAATGTTGAATTCTCAGCCTAGAGAGGTTCCTGCCATCATTTGCTCAGCATACAGCCTATGTGGAAGTGTGGGGACAAACTTCCACAATACCTATGCTTTGCCTCTCCATGTAATGATGATGGATTTGGGGAAAAGACAGTTCTGAAAACTATTGTGGGTTGTGGGGGGCCCGATGGGCTTGGTGGCAGGGCCCCCCACAGACAGACTGTTGGTGTTATTCTTTTTTTTTTTTTTTTTTTTTTTTTGGTTTTTCGAGGCAGGTCAGAGGTAATGGGAGTGGGCGTGGCTTGTCCCTTAAAGTGACAGGAGAGCACAACATTCCCAGGTCTTCCTTATAATAAAAAGCCGGAGACCAGATACCACAGCCCAAAGGAACTGGGGTGGCGAACTCTCAAGACTGCTTCCAGCTGATTGTGGGTGTCGTCTTTGGGTGGGGGGGGACCTGAAGAAGGCTGTGTGCTGGGAACATCCTGGCCTAGCTGGTCTCTTTGCTTCTGACCAGTGTCTGTGGCATGGAAATGTCTGGTGTTCCTAAGGTATTGGCAGAACAAAAACAAAGTTAAATTAAGGAAAAGAAATTTTTAGGATCAGAGAATTGAGGGGGTATCTGACTTGTTTAAGATGATGGCTTTCTTAATTCAGCTCCCTGGAACTCACGAGAACTCTTGGGGTTTGTGAAAACAGAAGTTTTAGACATATAATGACTGTGGCATAAGAGATAAATTTGATTTAAAATTTGTTTGGTGAGGTCACCTTGCAAAACCTCTCAGCTGTCAAACTGTCAGAGATCTTTGAGAAGGATAAGATTTAACTTGAGTTACTGATTAAAAAATGACAGAGAACTTACTTGGTTGGCACCCAGAGCTACTCTTTAGTGGGTCCTCCGTGGTTGCTGAAGGTTGCACTTGACCTTTGCTGTTTAGTGCAGGGTCTGCCAGGCTGCAGAAGACCCTGTGGGCTAAGAAATCTGTAGGAAGACGAGCCTACCTTGACCTGAGCAGCTAGGCTGTCGATTCCAGTGATTCTGTCCACGTCTAGAGGTCTTTACTTTAGACGAAAGGCAGGTTTTCCCAATGGTTAGCGCTCTAAGGACGTTGTTCTGCGCGTGTCTGTCTTCTGTCTTCTTTGGAAGGAACAGAACTGCTGTTAGGAGCCAACCTGTCTCTTTCTGTTGTTGTGAAAAGTTTTTAATAATTAAATACTTAAATATCACATTCTCCAGATCTTTGAGTAGTTGAGGGCTGTTTATCAAGGTATAACTATAGTATAGAATTTGTTTGGAAAGTTGGGTCTGAGCTTGACCGCACTGGCTCTCAACAGGTAAGATTTACATTTGTAAAAAGGCAGAGAGAGGGCAAAAACCTGCTTGTAATATAAGGTTAGTGGCAGAACTGACAATGGTAGAGAACAGCTTAAGAGACTTAAAGGTACATACCAGTTTAAAATATGAGACTCATGTTTTGTAGTCTGAAATGAGATGTAAGAAACAATTATTATACATAGAAAGAGTGAACAAGAATTGGGCAACGTGGACGCCTCTGATGGGCCCTATCAGAGGCGCAATATTGTTTAAAACATATGTAACAGAGTTAATAAGAGGATTTTAGTGAAAACTGGGTAAGAAGGCAGGGTGAAACTGTGAGTAAATCCGGGAGAGTGCGATCACATGACCTGGCCTTCAGCCAGGCCGTGTGTAGTCTGCTCTGTTGGAGAGCCGCCATGCCATAACAAAAGCCGCAGCGGGGAGGGGCAAAAGGCTGAAACCGAAAAACGGCCGTGTTTAGTTTTAATGGGGCCACTTATTTGGACAGAGATGGATAAGTGTAAGGCATTAAAGCATGAGGCTGGAGTGATAGGTCTGGATGGCTAAAAACCGTGGCACCATTAAGGTGAGATGCAGATGGCACGAACACCCAGGCCCTGTGAAAAGGCGTCCGATTCCACAGGGGGTGCTATAACCTGGCGGGCAGGAGGGATTCAGCCAAGGTCAGGCCACACCGTAGCGGCGTGCCACACCATAGTGGCAGTTACGACAAAAAGAAGGAAGAAAAGTAATGAAAAGAGAAAAAGAGGGAGAACTGGAGTCCCCGGGCCTCCAGGCACAGGTGAGCTGAGGGGCTGGCTAAGGCCACACTGTCCCAAGTACGGGCTTAGCACAGGAAACAAGCCGAATTGAATGCCAGCGAAGGGAACAACCGAGGCCCTGAAGGCCCGTGGTTGAAGGTTCCCCCATCCCTAGAAACCAGGAAGGGTTGCCAGGAGCTCAACGGTCAATCCCTTGGGTTAAAAGAGATGGTTTAAGCTGGCCGAGATGGGGACACTCACGATTAGTTGATTTGTTATTTGGAGGAGCTGTGTCCAGGCAGATGGAACACGTGGATCATTGTAGAAAAGGTCCTTGTGTCCTGATTCTGCCCCGGGAGGGAGCTTGGAGTCCCGGATGGCGCCTAAAGCTGGAACTCCTGCCGGGGTGGAAGTCCACGAGTTGCGGCGTCATTTGTTATTCTTATAATGATCTACGGGTGGGCTGGCGGAGCCCGCCCTGTGACAAGTGGCTACAGTTTCCCACCAGCAGGAGGGCATGCGCCGCATGGGCGGTGGCGGTGGGTAACAGACACATAAACACAAAAGATAGGCATAAAGGTAAAATATTTATTACAGGAGAGAGGGAGAGAGGGAGAGAGGGAGAGGGAGAGAGAGAGAGAGAGAGAGAGAGAGAGAGAGAGAGAGAGAAGATAAAAGGGGAGAAAGAACACGTGCGCACGCCAAGGAAGCAGAAAAGGAAGGGGGCAAGATGGCGGCCGGCAGATCAGAGGTAATGGGAGTGGGCGTGGCTTGTCCCTTAAAGCGACAGGAAAGCACAAGAGTTGGTCTGTCAGTTTTACAATAAAGCTTGTTTTTCTCCCCCAGCTCCTCCATCTTTCAGGTCTTTGATAGTGACAATAGCCAGATTTGAATATAAGGCAAATATATACATATTTCTTAAGGAAGAGGGTGTTTGGGGGAGTCAGCCAGCCTGCTGACACTGGCACTAGCCGCTACACAGTTGTAAGCCCTTTTTATTTCTCATCCCTGGTGTTTCCAATCTTATTGTTTAAACATCTTAGTTATGTATGTTAATGTAGTATGTGTGTGTGTGCCACAGCATGAATCATGTGTGTGGACGTCAAAGGATAACTCATAGGAGTTAGTTCTCTATTTCTACACTAAATGGATCCTGGGATCAGACTCAGGTTGTTGGGCTTGAGAGCCTTTACCCAACAGGCCGTCTCACAGATCCTTCCTTTTTTCTTTTTGAGACAGGCTCTCACTATGTAAACCTGATTTTCCTGTGTCTTACTGTATGGACCAGGCTGGCGTCAAAGCTCATAGAGATCCATCTGCCTCTGCCTCGCAAGTGCTTAAAGGTGTGTGCCACCACCACCTGGCAGACCTTCACATTTTATCCATATCCTCCTGGCACAACCAGGGAGGTGATCATGCTCTTTGTCTGTTCCACCCACTCAGTGGTGGGTGACGACCTCCCTCATCTGTCTCTAGCTGATTCTCTGTTAGCTGTTAGCCAGGGTGAGCATCACCTGTGGTGCCCACCTCCATATGTTTCTAGTCTGACCATTGGAGGGGGATGCTGCTAGTCATCAGACCCCATTCTCTTTGTTCTCACGTATTTGTATTCATGACAGACTTACCATTTTGCTACGCCAGAGAGCCATCTCATCAACAGGACAACAAACATCTCTAAAAATCCACTCCTTTAGTGCCACAAACAGCTTGGTGAGCATAGGAATGACTGGTTTTCTCTGTGTAGCCCCGGCTGTCCTGGAATTCTCTCTGGAGACATGGCTGGCCTCTGCCTCCTGAGTGCTGGGATTATAGGTGTGTGCCAGCACCATATGGCTTCCAGACCTTTTTTTTTCTTATTGTTGATGGTGTTCACGGGGCTGAATGAGGTAACTGGCAACCATTGGTTTGTGGTTTGACTTACAGTACAAATCGCCTTAGTATTTGGTGCAAGAGTATTAGACTATGTCTTCAACCTGTGCCAAGGTAAATTTGACTACCTGGAGCGGCTGTCGGACAAACTACTACTGAAGATCATCTGCTACCTGGACCTCGAGGACATTGCCAGGCTCTCGCAGACATCCAGCAGGTTTGCCAAGGTAACAGTCCCTGCTGCTGTGTTGGCTGCACCAGCAACACCAAGAGCCCTCCCACTAACCTCAGGGAATCCGTATTGCTCTTTTTCCTTATTTATTTAGGTTTTTGTTATTTTATTTTTTTTTAAATATTTATTTATTTAGTATACAATATTCTGTCTGTGTGTATGACTGCAGGCCAGAAGAGGGCACCAGACCTCATTACAGATGGTTGTGAGCCACCATGTGGTTGCTGGGAATTGAACTCAGGACCTTTGGAAGAGCAGGCAATGCTCTTAACCTCTGAGCCATCTCTGATTGATTTACCTATCTATTTAATGTAGATGGACATTCGCCTGCATGGGTGCATACTGTGTGCATGCAGTGCCCCATGGAGGCCAGAAGAGGGCACCTGATCCCCTGGAAATAAAATTAGAGGCAGCTGTGAACTGCCATGCCATGTGATGTGCTGGGAACAGAATCTAGGTCCTCTGCAAGAGCAGTCAGTGCTCTTAACTGCTGAGCCATCTCTCCAGACCCTGAATATCTTTCTGCTTATCTATCTATCTATCTATCTATCTATCTATCTATCTATCTATCTATCTATCTACCTATCATCTATCTATCCATTTATCAAAATAAGGATTTATGTAGTATATGCTAGCCTTGAACTTCTTTTTCTTTTCTTTCCCCATTCTCCCCCTTCTTCCTTTCTCTCTCTCTTCCTTCCTTCTCCCTTCCTTTATTTCTTTCTCTCTCTCTCTCTCTCTCTCTCTCTCTCTCTCTCTCTCTCTCTCTCTCTCTCTCTCTTGTTGTTTTTTTTGATTTTTCAAGACAGGATTTCTCTTTGTAGCCCTGGAATTCACTCGACAGGTCAGGGTGCCTCTGCCTTACAAATGCTGCGCTTAAAGGCGTGTGGCACACCCAGTTTAGCCTTGAACTTCAAAGCTTCCTGTTTTTACCTCCCAAACATTGTGATCATAGGTCATGTCACCATGGCCAGTTTATTTTTTCTTTGAGATAGCTGAGACAGCATATCTGCAATCCTGCCTCAGCCTCCCAAATTCTGGGATCATAGATGTGACCTCACCATGCCTAGTCTACTTGTGTTTAATGTCCACAGCCATTCGTTGAGTCCTGCCTCTGTGACAGACAGAAGCAACCAAGATGGCATTATTCCCACACTAAAGGAACTTAACTTACTATCAGATATCAGGTTGCTACACAGATACAGGTTGTGGTATAATGTGATGGGTTTGATAAAAATAAGTGGGCAAGGTGCAAGGACTGGGTGTTGAGTGGTTTCCTGTGCCTGGCTTCTTAGAAGTGGGTCACTCTGTCTGCGCTTTGAGTGCAAAATAGAGGACATTTGTTGTAGGTTGAGTGGTGGGCAGCATCCCGCCACCCAGCTAGCTTAACTCCCGAAATAACCACATAGAAACTGTATTAATTAAAACACTGCCTGGCCCATTATCTTTAACCTCTTATTGGCTAACTCTCACATATTAGTTTAACCCATCTCCATTAATGTGTATTGCTTTTTGACTGTTTGCTTACCTGCATGAGTCTAACCAGCCAGCATCCATCTCAGGCAGGAGAACAATGGCATCCGCCACACTGCCTTTTTCCTCCAGAATTCTGTTTTGTCTTCCCTGCCTACCTGAGTTCTACCCTATCAACTAGACCAAGGCAGCTTCTTTAATAACCAATGAAAGCAACACAAATACAGAAGGGCCTCCTACACCAGGCATTCAAGACAGGGAATCTTCCAAGCCAAGGAACAGAGGTAGAGGCAGCGTGGTGGCACTAACAGTACTTCAAGGACGAGCCGAGAGTGTCTCGGTTAGGAGTATGCACTGCCAGCTGGTGGCACACTCTCTTAGGAGGCATTGGCAGGTGAGTTTGAGGCTAGGCTGGTCTACATAGTGAGTTATACACCAGTCAGTGTTACACAGTAAGATCCTGCAGTAGTAACTGTTGAAATAGGAAGCGGCGGGGCTGCGTCCCCAACACCCCGGCCGCTTGGCTAGCTCATGCCCAAAATAACAACACACAAACTGTATTCATTTAAGAACTGCTTGACCCATGAACTCTAGCCCTTACAGGCTAATTCTCGCACCTGGACTAGCCCATTTCTAATGATGTGTGTAAG